AAAGGAAAGTACCCCCCCCCCCTGCAACTGAGCAGAAAGATAAAATGAGAAGAAGAGGAGAAGAGGAGATTGGATTTATACCCCGCCCCTCACTTGGGAGTCTCAGAGCGGCTTACAAACTCTTTTCCCTTCCCCTCCCCACAACAGACACCCTGTGAGGTGGGTGGGGCTGAGAGAACTCTGACACAAACTGCTCTTTCTCAAGGACAGCTGTGCCAGAGCTTGTGACTGACCCAAGGTCACATCAGCAGGTGCAAGTGGAGGAGTGGGGAATCAAACCCGGTTCTCCCAGATTAGAGTCCGCACACTTAACCACTACACCAAACTGGTAACATGAGGGTGGGTGAGTCAAGAAGAGCATGGGGGGGGGGTGAACTGCCCAATGAGAAATTTGTCCCACCTGTTTTGTCAGCTGTTTAGGCCAGAACATGCCAAAGGGGGCATCCAGAATTAAGGAAGGAAACACTGGCCTTATGGGAAGGGGATGTGGCTCAGTGGCAGAGCATCTGCTTGACATGCAAAAGGTCCCAGGTTCAATCCCCGGCAGCATCTCCAGTTAAACAGGACCAGTCAGGAGGGGATGGGAAAGACCTCCGCCTGAGACCGTGGAGAGCTGCAAAGAGGGGCTGTGGCTCAGTGGCAGGCAGGCAGAAGGTCCCAGGTTCAATCCCCAACGGCATTTCCAGTTAAACAGGACCAGGCAGGAGGTGATGGGAAAGACCTCTCAACCTGAGACCCTGGAGAGCTGTCAAGAGGGGCTGTGGCTCAGTGGCAGAGCCTCTGCTTGGCACGCAGAAGTTCCCCGGTTCCATCCCCGGCAGAACCTCCAGTTGAAAAGGACCAGGCAGGAGGGGATGGGAAAGACCTCCGCCTGAGACCCTGGAGAGCTGCCAAGAGGGGCCGTGGCTCAGTGGCAGAGCCTCTGCTTGGCATGCAAAAGGTCCCAGTTTCAATCCCCGGCATCTCCGGTAAGGATCAGGTTGTAGGTGATGTGAAGGACCTCAGCCTGAGACCCTGGAGAGCCTCTGCCAGCCTGAGTGGGTAATGCTGACTTTGATGGACTGATGGTCTTGTTCAGTATAAGGCAGCCTCACGTGCTCTGATGTGGCCTTGTGAGAATACGGGATTGTTCTCCTTGTTATCACCTGACTTCCCTAGTCATTGCAACTCCCATTCATGTGAGTCTTGGAGGTCAGAAGGGTTTCTTTTGTCAGTGGATATAAAGGTAAAGGTTCCCTTGCTCGAAAGCCAGTCGAGTTCGACGCCAGGGTTGCGGTGCTCATCTCCGTTTCAAAGCCGAAGAGCCAGCGCTGTCCGAAGACGTTTCCGTGGTTGTGTGGCCGGCGTGACTAAACACCGAGGCGCACAGAACCCTTCCCACCGAAATGGTACCTAATTATCTACTTGCAATTCCTTGCTTTCGAACTGCTAGGTTGGCAGGAGCTGGAACTAGAGACAGGAGCTCACTCCGTCGTGCGGCACACTCGGGTCTCGAACTGCTGAACTACCGACCTTCCACAGCCTGCAGTTCAGCGTCTTAACCACTTGAGCCGCCGCAGCTCCTATTGTTGGGTCGCCAAATGTAATTGGCTGTGTGGCACTGTGATCCCTGACTGGTTGGAACATACAGCCACCAAGAACTTCTTTCTCCAGTGTAAAAAGAATGGGATGTTGGGGAAAGTATGCCTTCTCTATACAAGGGCCAATTGCACTTCAAGAGATAGGGGGGTCATTTACATTATTTATTATTTATTTATTTAGGGAAAACAGCTGCTATTTATAGACGTGATCCTGGCTCTCCGGTGCTGCATCATGCAAAGCCAGAAAGGTGGCTTTGTGGAAAGCAGTCCCACCACACCCATCCGTTTCTGAATCTTAGTAGACAGACCCATTACTTACAACTGCCAAATGGTAGATTTCTTCTTCTCCTGGACTGAAGGATGCTCCCGGGAGGCTCTGTGCAAAAGATTTTAAAAAGGAGCTAAGAAACAGCCAAGGATTGGTTCTTTCCCCCCCCCAGTCTCACACCAATGACTATGTGGATTTAAGCTGGAGAGCTGAAGGTGAGCACGCTGGTTAGTTGCAGGGGATAATGAATGTTGTGCAATTCTGCATTTACTTTTCGTATTTACATCTCACTGTGCTACCATTTAGAAGTTAAAACAACAACAGGTTGACCTTGTGAATGTCAGTAGCGATCCTGGCTGTCTCAGACAGAAAGCAGTGATCATACGTAACAAATCCCCAGTGCATGTTCATTTTAAAACCATGGCAGCTTTAGGAGGGGCCAAAGGGCTCTTTTTGTAGCAGGAACTCCTTTGCATATTAGGCCACACACCCCCTAATTTAGCCAATCCTCCAAGAGCTTACAGAGCTCTTCTTGCAGGAGCTACTGTAAGCTCTTGGAGGATTGGCTACATTAGGGGTGTGTCGCTTAATATGCAAATGAGTACCTGCTACAAAAAGAGCCCAGGGATAATTTTAAGCAGAGAAACATGGCATGGCAAGAACTGCTGGGGGGGAGAAGAGAGCGGGGAGAGGAATTTACAGTGGGGAAAACCAGTGCATGGGGGAAAGGGTGAAGCACCTCCTCCCCCTCCAGCTGTTTTCCCCATTTATTTATTTACTTCATTTACAGTCAGCCTTTCTCGCTGAGACTTAGAATGGATTACAAAATACAGAAGGCCATTCGGTCAGGCAGCAATAAGACATCCGGTAAACATCGCCACAGACCACAGAACCAGAAAACAGTGCAAGTGAAAAACCCACTGAAGGCATGCAATGCCATAATGCAGAAGGTAGAAGATGACGCTGGAAAAGGAAGGCGACACGCTGCAAGGGAATGCAATCCCATTCCCTTTAAAAAGCATCTTCCTGAGCTGTTCCATTATACTACAGCTCTAATCCTGTTAAAAAGTCAACCCCCTGAGCAATGTTCCCTCTAAGCTGAGTTAGAGTGAGCTAGCTCACAGTTTTTTAGCCTCCAGCTCACACATTTTTGTCTTGACTCAGGAAGGATGGCTCCAGAGCAAACTAATTTATGCAGCGGCCAAATCGCTCGCTCACAACTTTAATGCCAGCAACTCACAAAGTAGAATTTTTGCTCACAGGACTCCACAGCTTAGAGGGAACATTGCCCCTGAGTGATTTTTCCTTTACAAAAATGGCTTGTGGCATTTCATGATATTAATTTGTAAATGGATTTAAAGGTTTCCTCTCGGGAAGAGGAGGGAGAATGAACGTTAAGCTCCTTGGCTGGAGCTTTCCCAGAACTGTTCCTACAAGTGTGGGGGGGGGGATGGGATCAGAATTATGCATAAACTATCAGTGCTTCTTATAGATGCAATCATCTAAATGACCTTAACAGTAACTAGCTTGATCAATCATATTGTTGTAAAGATAAGTGCATGGGTTTAACCAGTACAACATTTTGCAGTGACCTATGGTTTTAAGCAAACAAACTGAACTACCAATTCAAGGAGCCTTCTCTTGCCTACAAACCTCCTGAATGGCTTTTGTAGATTGTCCCAGATAATTGTCAGCTATGCTGCCATGGGGGTTGGGGAGTTCATTCTGTGTCTTGGTCATTGCTATTGCATTCCTATCTCTGCTGTTCTGCCTGTGCCGCAATGCTTATCTCTACAGGTGTGCAGGAGGATGTTGTGTTGGAGGTTGTTATGTCTGGAAGTCTCCTAGGTACCGTGAGAGACTACTGCTTCCCAGCTTTCGCCACCTAACGGTTTCCTAGCGGGTCCCGCGCGCGGGAGGGTAGCTAATTGGCCCATGCCATGGGGGGGGGTGCATACAAATGCCCTATATCCTATTATGCTCAATGGGTTGCCGCCATTCTTAACAGTGCCTGTGTTACTGCATCTATAGCTCTGCAATAAAAGTATAACCGTCCCTGAATGTGTGTACTTCGTTGTAAGCTGTGGGTTCTGACAATAATGCCCACAGATTCCCAAGCCAATCTTTGCAAACTCAGGGGCTAGAAGCTTGCTGTCTTTTAAAAATACATAATTATTCTAGGGATGCTGAATTCTATCTCCAGTGACTGGTGCAGTCAGAGAACAGAAGAAGACGCTCACCTCCCGTCCCTCAAGATGTCCAAAAAGTCCCTCCCTCACCTGATCATCTCCGTCCACCTGACGGCTTCCTGCAGCTCCATCAACCGCTCCTTGTACTGATTGCGCTCCATCAAGACACGGGCCATCTCCACCCGGGTGAAGCGCCGCCGCTGGGCAATGGGAATGTTGTCCTGCAGGGGGGAGGAGGACTGCTTCAACCAATGGGAAACGGAAGGGGACCCAGGTTAGTAAAGCACCAGCCAGGCAACTAAAGTCACAAAGCTTCTTTCTTGCCTTCTTTATCACCACCTCCCACCGCTAAGGCCCGGCATGTGTTTCAACGTTAGCCGAGGTAGTCTAGCAGCAGCCTCGCTTAGGAAGGCAAGCGTAGCTTCTGGAGCAGAGATCATTAACAAAATGCTCATCCATTCTACAAGCCTCTGAGACAAGACTAGAGATCATCCTAATCTAACTAACATGCTTCTAAAAGCGAGACATTAATATCAGTTAGTCAAAAATCATATTAAAGCGATGCAAAGGTTTTTCTGATAAAAGAAGGGAAGCTAATTTAGAAACTGTGCTACACACAGCAAAGGAGGAAAGACTAGTTAACAGTGAAAACAGAAGTCAAATCTTTAAGAGTGGCAGCAAAAGGCTCTTCACCTGAAGGATAAACCTGGCTTTGCAACTTCCTTTACGTGTATTTGGAAGTTGCGCACAGGATCCGATCACTTCCCCTCCCCGAGCTTTGCTCCAGGCGTGAGCTCTGGATAAAGAAGTTCTGCATGTTTCTAGAGTGCTGGGGGAAGAAATTCACTGGCTGATATCTGCCTCACCACTACGGATGCCTCGTACAGACTGCCAATCCTTTTATTATTAAAGAGGAGTCGCCCTCCTTTCGGGTAAATATGGGTGTGTGTTTATAAACTCATGCTTCACTCTGCCAAAAATAAATCACACAAAATCTTTAGAAAATAGCTTCCAAATATCTTCAGGTGCCGGGGCTGGAGGATATGGCCGACAGCATAGGCGCTAGCCAATAGGGGCCTCCCAAACTTGCCTTCCTGCCAACATGCTAGAAATTTGCAGAACTGTTTCCCCCCCTCAAAGATTGCACCAGGAACAGAGAATGGATGCAAGTTATCAGGAAAGCATAAAATGTGTTCCCCTCTGCCACGCTTAAAGAGTTACACCTGTTCAGAAAACAAAGGTCATTCTGGCTGTGAACTAACATCGAACACGTTAGTGAGTCGGTCCTGAGAGACATACTGCTAGCTCACAGGGATTAAAATCGGCTTGCTTTTTCTGTACGAAAAAGCTCCCAAATGCTACTGGAGAATGACGGAAGGAACAGCTGTGACTCAGCACTGAAGAAAGGCCTTGGCCCCCCTTGCCTCGCTTGGCCACGCTCACCTGCTCACTCTCATCATCTGGATGATGCTCTGGGGAAGATCCTGCTGACCACTGGGCAGCAATGGAAAGAAGGGACAGATTCGGAAATGCAGCCCTTTCCCCTCTCTTCCAAACAGCTACCACTAAAGATTAGCAGGCTTGCGGGTCAGGAGGCTACAAGAAGAACTTCAGGATAGATGGAAGGCCAGGTTTCGGGGAAAGCACATTCTAGAACTCCGTCCTTACAAGATCCCCATTTGCCGTGTTCGGCAACGGCATGCCGTTAAGTCTATTTGCACAGGTTTGCCTGGTTTGTGGCTGCAAAAGTTGGGATGGTTCCCAGAGATGGGATTTTCAAAGACACTGGAAGCTTGAGGGCAAGGAAAGAGGGACTAGGAAAGGCCAAGGTGGGCACTACTATAGGCCAGCACACGGAGGCCTGGCAGAGCGGAGCAACATCGGCTCCAGAGAAAAGTACGACCTGTAGGAATACAATGGGGCTACCGGGGCAGAAGTGAACGGGTGGATCATGACACGGTGCTGCCAATAGGGCACACCACTGTCAGTGCATGGCATCAAGCAGCTTGGCCAGGAAACCAAACACACGTTGAGCCAGGAATGAGAAAACACAGAGCAAGGGACGAAAACCAGGCAGGAGTAGCCCTTTATGGCCAGGGTCCAGCCTACCTGAGGGACCGCCTTTCTCCATATGTTCCCCCAAGGGCACTACGGTCGGGGGGGCGTCATCTCCTGGAAATTCCAGGCCCGAGAGACGTTAAATCTGCGGTGACCAGGACCAGGGCATTTTCGGTGGCGGCTCCTACCTGGTGGAAGGAGCTCCCGGAAGAGATCCGGGCCCTGCAGGACCTCTCTCAGTTCCGCAGGGCCTGCAAGACGGAGCTCTTCCGCCAGGCCTTTGAGTAGGAGC